CACAAATACCCGATTCATTGTTAAAATGAATTTATAAAGACTTTGTCCTTTACAGTTTACATACAGACACGCCCATATGGAAAATTCATTTTTTCCTTTCGTCATCGTATCCCGATCTTGTTTCCCAGCCGATCTTTTCATTGGAAAACATACATATTCATCCGAACTGAAACCATATAATTGTTCTCTAATGTACAAGGGTCTTTTTGTCAGTGTCTTTCTTCTCTTAAATCTCATTGAGGCAATCACTAGATTCATCTCCAGCTGAAGCATTTGCTTCCCTTTGATAGACAATCTATTGTCAACAACAATAACTGAGATGCTCTTCGACACTTTACTAGCATAGTACTTTAAAATTCACACTAATGACCTAATGGCATGATGGTTAAGTCCCAACAATTAAATTTGTAGCACTCCCCAACTTTGCTTCACGAACAAAAACTCTATGAACTGGTGATCCTCGACATACTTTAAGCTTTAAATGCACCTAAACAAAGTTCATCTTGGTGATGAAGAAAAACTGCCATGGGTTTGAAGTTGAATAGAACAAAGCAAACTTCAGATCATCGAGTGTGAAGTTCGCCAGTTGCAGTGTTAACTTCATACATAGGGGGCAGAAGTTTGCTCGTCGTATTTTAAACTTCAGACCTCAGGGACTGAACATCGGTACTGAAAGCAAACTTCAGATCATTGAGTCTGAAGTTCGTCTGTTGCAGTGTTAACTTCATACATAGGGGGTTGAAGTTTCGATGTCTAAAGTTTGCTCGTCGCATTTTAAACTTCAGACCTCAGGGACTGAACATCGAGACTGAAAGCAAACTTCAGATCATCGAGTCAGAAGTTCGTCTGTTACAGTGTTAACTTCAGACATAGGGGTTGAAGTTTCGATGTCTAAAGTTTGTTCGTCGCATTTTAAACTTCAGACCTCAAGGACTGAAAGCAAACTTCAGTTCATCGAGTCAGAAGTTCGTCTGTTGCAGTGTTAACTTCAGACATAGGGGTTGAAGTTTCGATGTCTAAAGTTAGTTCGTCGCATTTTAAACTTCAAACCTTAGGAACTGAACATCGGGACTGAAAGCAAACTTCAGATCATCGTGTATGAAGTTCTTCAATTGCAGTGTTAACTTCATACATAGGGGGCTGAAATTTCGATGTCTGAAGTTTGCTCGTCGCATTTTAAACTTCAGACCTCAGAGACTGAACATCGGGACTGAAAGCAAACTTCAGATCATCGAGTCTGAAGTTCGTCCGTTGCAGTATTAACTTCAGACATATGGGGCTGAAATTTCGATGTCTGAAGTTTGCTCGCCCCATTTTAAACTTCAGACCTCAGAGACTGAACATCGGGACTGAAGTTCGCCGTCGTAGTGTAAACTTGAGACATGTGGCACTGAAGTTTGCCTTAACACCTCCGTGACTGAAGTTCACCCATAGCAGAGTTAACTTCAGACCTTCGCGACTGAAGTTCATAAAATAATAGTGCTATCTTCAGACCTCTGTGGCTGAAGTTGAACTTCACTTTTGTCCATAGCTGGAGAGCCCATGGCTGCGTATTGGGGTTTCTTTCAAGATTTTGGCATTCTTCTATTGGATGTGAGGGAGAGTTAGCTCGATGAAGTAGATATAGAAATTTAAATGACTTTAGTTTTCCCATTTAAGAACTGAGGTGGGCTTAGTTCAAGTTTCAACAAAGAAAAAAAGGATAAGTACAAAAGATGAGTTAAAAAGTGAAATATTTTAATACGAATGATGATAGATGAAGATAGTGTGGATTTGTGGCAGATTAACAAACAGAACTAGCTGGAGCAGTGGGTTCAATTTGTGGGCAATAAAAAAGTTGGTCTTTTTGGTGCAAAGAGAGAATAGAGCAAAAGTTGGTCTTTTTGTAAAGTTTGAAACTTTATCGAGACGGAAAGGGTATGGGACATGTGTTCCAGTAATGGAGGAATCCGATGGTATTTGAAACTCTCCAGGAAGAGGATTATCCGACGGTAATGATAGGGGTATTTTTGTCCCGTTATTAAATACTTATTACAAACCAGGTATAAGATGTGGCGGAACCAGAATTTTCGTTAAGGGGTGTCAAAATATATAAAAGTAAACATACCATAAAATTAAGGAGAGTCAATACATAATATAGATATACATAATTTATTTTTTTACCTAGTTACACAGTGTATTTTTTCCAGGACTGGGTATAAATTAAAAGAAATTAAAAAACTGGGTATAGGTTAAACAGTGCTACCAATATTGGGTATCTGTGCACTTCCCCCTACTTTGACATTATATTTCATTTAAAACATTTTACGAAGTGTATTTTCAAAAATAAAAATATTGCACTTTGAACCTTTATCGCATGGGCCTATTTTCGCGACTAAATTATTATGAATGTCTTTTTAGATTAATATCTTCTAAACGTTGTAAGTAGTAAATTAACTTTGTTTTGTAAATAGCACCCTCCCGAAAGAGTTGCTACAGAATTGCAAATGCAACTGCTTCATATAGATATCCATTTCAAGCCCAAGTATTAATGCTTGATACTCAGCGACATTGTTGGAACAAAGTTGTGTCAAAGTAAGAACTTCCCCTTGAGAAGTGACAAATACTACACCAGCACTAGCTCCTCCGCGATGTGCGGCACCATCAAAGTACATCTTCTATGGAGGTTGAACTTCAATGACCATTGCGTCCTCATCAGGTAGTTCGTCAGTTAGCTCCCAATCTTCAGGTATAGGGTGATCTGCCAAGAAGTTCGCTAGCGCTTGTCCTTTTATAGCCTTTTGAGGGATGTACATAATTTCAAATTGTTGAAACTGGAGGTACCACCTTGCTGGTCGATCACTAAGGACATGTTTTGACATAACGAACTTGATGGGATATGTTTATTCTCTTTGTCCTATTCCTTAGAGTATATTTTAAATTTATATTGAATGATGTATTTTGACATATTTAAATTATCATGTAAAGAATAAGTAATACCAAACACTCAATGTTATTGTTTTGGAATAACTATATTTTATATTAATTAAAATTTTAATTTATATTTTTACTTTACGTTTTATATTTTAATTGAATTCATTTCTAATGAATGTTAAAATTTATTTTTCTTTTCTAAATAATACTAATCGAAAATTGAACTTTAATTACCCTTTTTCGTAATTTGATACTTAAAAGTACTTTTTTAAAAGACTGGCCAAACACAACGAGCTTGTAAAAAGCAGTAAAAATAGCGTGGTATAGCCACTTTTTAAAGTGGTATTTACTTTTTAGCCAGTATTTTTAATGTTGAGCAAAAATAGCCACTACTCTATTAAAATTGATACGAAAAGTCTTTTTTACCCTTTCTTCATGAGTGATGTGTAAATATTAAGGACATGGTGTCCTTAATTTCATGAGTGATGTGTAAAATATTAAGGACACTATGTCCTTAACATTTACATTGTACACATGAAGTTAATGACACCATGTCCTTAACATTTACAATACACATATGAAGTTAAGGACATGATGTCCTAAAGTTTAACAGTAGAAGTTGCAAATATAAGTTAATGATATTATGTCCTTAACATTTACATTGCACACATAAAGTTAATGACACCATGCCCTTAACATTTACACTGCACATATGAAATTAAGGACACCATGTCCTTAATATTTACATTGCACATATAAAGTTAAGGACATGATGTCCTAAAATTTAACAATAGAAGTTGCAAATACAAGTTAATGATATTATGTCCTTAACATTTACATTGCACACATGAAGTTAAGGACATCATGTCCTTAACATTTACACTGCACATATGAAGTTAAGGACACCATGTCCTTAATATTTACACATCACTCATGAAGTTAAGGACACCATGTCCTTAACATTCACACTGCACATATGAAGTTAAGGACACCATGTCCTTAATATTTACACATCACTCATGAAATTAAGGACACTATGTCCTTAACATTTACATTGCACACATGAAGTTAAGGACATCATGTCCTTAACATTTACACTATACATATGAAGTTAAGGACATGATGTCCTAAAATTTAACAACATAAATTGAAAATACAAGTTAATGATATTATGTCCTTAACATTTACATTATACACATGAAGTTAAGGACACCATGTCCTTAACATTTATACTGCACGTATGAAGTTAAGGACATGATGTCCTAAAGTTTATCAGCAGAAAGTGCAAATATAGGACACTTTGTCCTTAATATTTACACATCACTCATGAAGTTAAGGACACTATGTCCTTAACATTTACAATGAACACATGAAATTAAGGACACCACGTCCTTAACATTTACACTACACATATGAAGTTAAGGACATGATGTCCTAAAGTTTAACAACAGAAGGTACAAATACAAGTTAAGGACATTATGTCTTTAACATTTACATTGAATGCATGAAGTTAAGGACACCATGTCCTTAACATTTACACTATACATATGAAGTTAAGGACATGGTGTCCTAAAGTTTAACAACAGAAGTTGCAAATACAAGTTAATGATATTATGTCCTTAACATTTACATTGCACACATGAAGTTAAGGACATCATGTCCTTAACATTTACACTGCACATATGAAGTTAAGGACATGATGTCCTAAAGTTTAGCAGTAGAAGGTGCAAATACAAGACACTTTGTCCTAAATATTTACACAACATTCATGAAGTTAAGAAAATCATATCCTTAATATTTACATAATACCTATGTCTAGCACATGGGTATTTTTGTCCGGCGGGTAAATATTTATTAAGAACTGGCTAAAGAGTAAATACATTTAAAACAGTAGCTAAAAAGTAAAGACATCTCTAATCAGTGGCTATCTGTGCACTCCCCCTGAAAAGCACAACTCAAACGAATGGGCCAAACACATACTGCTATTTTGCAAAAGCACTTTTGAATAAAAGTATTTTTCAAAATAAACAGTTTTTGACAGGTTGGCCAAACGGGTTCTTAGTTTGAACCTCCAATAGAGAATTTTATATCATCAATGGATCTAGATGGTCCAAAGGCAAATTTAGTAAAAACCCTTTAAATTGTTTTATACTCCAATATTAAAAATGATAAACGTTGGAATAACAAAAGAGAAAAAGATTGTCAAATAAAAATTGTATCGTACTAATCGAGACGTCGTAGAAGGTACTCAACTTCAACAAGTTTTGTCAAAGGCATAATCCATTCATCATATAAGCGCGAAACTAGCGATGGATCAACCTTGCACTTTACTTCTTTGGAGCTATCATCAATATTTAGGGTCACTTGTTGCCCAAACGTCAAGGCTTTCTTTGCAACTCTCTTCTTTACCATCTCTTCAACTGCTTCAAATGTCAATAGCTTCATTAGAGCATCCCTATCCTGCAATAACAAAGATATGTTATTTCTTAAAACAAACTTTAAGAACATGCATTTGTCATATATAGAATTTAAAACACCTTTATCGTCGATCTTGAAATGAAAATAAAAAGTTTATTGATCTTTGTTATTGATATTTTTTATACGGAAAACGGTCATATTTGTCCTTGTACTCTTTAAAAAGGGTTATATTTGTCCTTCGTTATACTTTTTAGATATATTTATCCTTATCATTATATTGTAGGATCATAGTTGCCCTTGTACTCTTCAAAAGGGTTATATTTGCCCTTCATTATACTTTTTTGACATATTTATCCTTATAATTATACTTTAGGATCATATTTGCCCCTCATCCGTTAGATCGTCATGTCCCACCTTTGTTTTCTTACATGACGCCTATGTGGATTTCTTTTTCTTCCAATTTAAATATGGTCACCTATTTAAGCTAATTTAACCCGCCCACCCAATTTAAATAAGACACACTAACTAAAATAAAAGAAAATTCATCCCCCCCCCCCACTCGTCCATCTCTCTTCTCCGGGCCAGCTCCATGTTTTCCGGAAAGCGAAAATTTTTTGGACAGTGAGTGAATGAAATTATAGTGTTATCCCTAATTGATTTATTTAATTATTTTACCTTTGTCTATGTTAATTTGTTTCCCTTTAATACTTAGGAGTTACGAGACATGAATCACTTAATGATGCTTTGAAGTATTTGTAGAAATATAACTCTGTAAAGTCTAAACTTTGTCAATTGACCATAATTGATCCACGAAAAGCAATTTCTTGATATGACATTTACGAAGATTGTGCGAAATACAATAGTGATATAGCAACGACAATATATTGGCAAACAATAACTTTGAACTCCGAATCACTAATTTAATACAACTCACAATTATTGCAGTAACTGAAGTAAATTACGAGAAGTTGCACAACAATGGAGTTAATGAAGTCATATTTAAATTGGGTAGGCGGGTTAAATTAGCTTAAATAGGTGACCATATTTGAATAGGAAGAAAAAGAAATCCACATAAGCAACATGTAGGAAAACAAAGGTGGGACATGGCGATCTAACGGATGAGGGGCAAATATGATCCTAAAGTATAATTGTAAGGATAAATATGTCAAAAAGTATAACAAAGGGCAAATATAACCCTTTTGAAGAGTACATGGGCAAATATGATCCTAAAGTATAATTGTAAGGATAAATATGTCAAAAAGTATAACAAAGGGCAAATATAACCCTTTTGAAGAGTACATGGGCAAATATGATCCTAAAGTATAATTGTAAGGATAAATATGTCAAAAAGTATAACAAAGGGCAAATATAACCCTTTTGAAGAGTACATGGGCAAATATGATCCTAAAGTATAATTGTAAGGATAAATATGTCAAAAAGTATAACAAAGGGCAAATATAACCCTTTTGAAGAGTACATGGGCAAATATGATCCTAAAGTATAACGATAAGGATAAATATATCTAAAAAGTATAACAAAGGACAAATATAACCCTTTTTAAAGAGTACCGGGGCAAATTTGACCATTAACCGTTTTTTATATAATTGCTATAATGAGAATCTATTCTCAGCTACAGAATGAGGATTAATGTACCTAGTACCTAGCTATAGCCGCAAAACATTAGAATTCCATGGCTATTAACAATTGTATAAAGTTTCCAGGTTTAGCAACACAAAACTTCCATATATAGCAATTGGTAGTAGTCCGTAGGCAAAACTTGTAAAGTCTGTACCAAACTTTTAGCTATTTCATTTCTTGCTATGCCATAGCCATGCTACGAAAAAAATCAATGTGGCTAAAGTGTTAAGCTACGAAATTTTTCATGTTTGGCTAAAATATATTTCGTTAGTGTATATGCATAATATTGTATCAATTATCAATTGTAACTCTTTGGAGAAATCTGTAATGTGTGTGCAGAAAAAAATGTGTTTTGGAAATCTGGATAATCTTGGCTTCTCTCTCATTTTTTCTTTTCTTTGAGAAACACTATAAAACAACTTCCGCTAGAAAGAGTCTTTCTAAAAGAATACAGTTTACAAAATTAAGCCTCTTCAAAAAAAACTTAAATGAGACGTTTTTTTGGCAATTCTTTTGGAAAGATTTTAAAACAATATCGACAAATTAACAAAATATATTAACTCCGAAATCCAACTATCCAAGGTGGAACAGAAGACATGGAAACGGTAAATAGTTGTATGTGAGACATACCTTAGCAAGAATAAGTGGTTTATATTGATCAGTACAATCCCTGAATTTAATCTCAGCAACAAATTTTCCATAATGAATCCTTCTAGAGAGTGCCTACAAGAAAAATATTTTCACTTTAGCTTATAAGCATTGTAATTCAAGTCAGCCACTCACATAACAAACTCATGGATTATTAGAGAGATTATATCTTAAGAAAACAGCACTGGGAAAAATAAATTGGATTATTGGAGAATGCAGAGAATTTTGTTCTTTATGTTTTTTGTAATATTGAGTTAATGTGTAAGTGGTGGGTGTTAAACAAATCAAGGTTGAGTTACTATTTCGTGTGCGTGTAAATGTAGGTTCAAGAGAGAACTGATTTAAAAAAAAAGTTTCAAGGGAGAATTATATTGTTTTTTCAAATTAATTTATTCCTAAAGAAGTGCTGTAGTTTATTTAATTAATCCACTGTTCTAATAATTCTATGTCAAGCTTCCATATAATTTACATGCTTTTAATAGTTAGTTAAAAGAATTTATTACTCCTATTTTGCATGTACATGCAAGTTGTTTAAAAGGTGTATAATATCTTTACTTTTTTAAAAAAGAAATCAAAACGGTTTCATCTTTAAAACTAGTGGAAATGACACTATGTAATCACTTTTAAGTATGTTGTTTAAAATATATTCATAGTTTACAATGTATTTAAAGATTAGCCAATTTTGCTCAAACTTCAGGATACGACGTCCTAGAGTTTAAACGTTAAAACTCAAACTTCATCGAAAATTGTGTCATGAAGTTCGAATCTTATGTCCTGAAATTTGGATGAATTGGCTAATCATTAAATACATTATAGATTGTGGATATATTTTAAATAGCGGGCTTAAAAGTGGTTATTGCTGCAATTCGCCCTTAAAACTAAGTTCAAATATTTCCTTTAAGGGCTGGATAAATAAATTTGTCTAGTGGTCTAGTCCGGAGCCTCAAAAAATTTTGTCCATTCGGGTGTTTGCATAAATCACATTAGTTTACTATTGTTAAGTGATGGATTGAGGTGAAAAGGTACATCTAAGGATACATATCATGTGTTTATTGATCCATGCATGAGTAAGTTTTTATAATAAAAATTTTATGTGACGTCTAGTTTTGTACCGCCAATTGAATATGCATCCACTTTTTTAAAAAAAATTAATTGATACCAAATTTTTTAATAACTTCAGATACATACAGTTTTCTTGTCTTCTTCACTGCTAATTTTTCTTCTTTGTGTTTAGGGTTTCTTCTTCTTTTAAGTTGCAAAATGAGTTTGTTAAATTTGTTGTTGTTTTATAAATTTGATGCTTGAGATTTGTTCTTTATGATATTTGAAAGTTATGTTTCAAATTTTAGCTCATTTGGAGTAGATTTGGGTTGTTGAATTGTGTATTGGATTGTTGGAATTCGAAGAACAAGTTTATATTTTATAACTTCAGATTTTGAATCTGAAATTGTCTGAAGTTGTATTGAAAAATTGAACTACTTAAGATTAGAAATTCTGAAGTTCCAATTGAAAGATAGAAGAAATTCAAATTCAAAATCTGAAATTGTTTTGAAGCGCTTGAACTACTTAAGATTTGAATTTTTGAAGTTGCAGTTGAAAGATAGGAAACCTTTAGATTTGATTTCTGAAGTTGCATTGAAGATATTTAACTACTTCAAATCCGCTCGGGTGCATTTTGCAAAGTTTTGTGCACTGCGGATATAAATTCAATAGTGGCCCCAAAAATGGGAATGTATGCAAATTCATTTTCAATGAGAAAATAATCAGTATTAATGTACAAGTTGAGTTACCTGCAATAACTGAATATCACAGGAAGCAATAGTTGCAAAGTTTCCTTCATCAGCCTGATCAGTAATACAAAATAGTGGAAGCAACTGCTTTATATAAACATCCAATATCTTCTCATTTACGTTGACAGATTCTGCTGCAGGATGCAAAACCTATAACTGAAATTAGTGAAAATATGATGTATATAATTTAAATTCAGGTCAAAAGGACAGATTATAATTAAAAAATACATTAGTCTGATAAATACTTACTGGTGTGCATTTGCTAGGTGGTATGATTGAGGCAGGCAAGTTATCTGGGAAGAAAGGATTTTCTTCTGGTGATAGGTATCTACCAACCTGAAAAATATAATAATATATTCACCAACCAAATATATAAAAAAAAAAAAACATACATTTTTGATAATATAACTTTTGTCGTATCAAGAATACCCATAATCTTTCATATAGAATTAAGCAAGATATAAATTGAAAAAGCGAAAAATCCGCTAGACTGACTCGAACGCCAGGACAAATTAAATCAAAGCCAAAACAATTCGGTGTTAAACAAAAAGATTTTAGTTTTCAGAAATCAAATAAAAATTGACTTTTTCCAGATCGAAAGCAATCCTAGATGGGCAGTTTCCCCCTTTTATTGGAATAGGGAATGATATTCAGCTTCTAGTACTGAAGGTTTTACATGTAATAATGATATTCTCTAAAGTTTCACTTCAAAAACTAATCCAAAATCTTCAAAATTAGCCTTTCAGATTAACCAAAAAAAACAAAACATAATCAAGCGTGCCACCAAAGAATAAATTGAAAAAATGAATTTGTTACGTACTATTTATGGAGTGAACATGTGAAGTCACATTATTACCTTTTCTTGTTGCAACCAGAATATAATACTAGTGCGAAAGTTTAGCGAGAAAATAAGAGTGATATTCGTTATAAAGTATTAAAAAAAATTGAAAACATTACTTTAAGGATGTAAATATTATTAAATAAGAATAGTTAGCTTGACTTAAAGAGCCTAATCCATTTTTTTGGTTAATTTATACTTATTATAAATTGATTTGTGTTGGTGAAGAGTATACGTTAAAAACATGAGTAAACTTTATGGGTGGTCATTTAACTTTGTGTTCATTATCCAAAAGTTACTTTTTTTACGTCAAAGTAATTCAGCTTTGTTCATTATTCAAAAGTCAATTTTCTTTCTTTTGTTACACAAAAATCATTTTACTATGCTCTAGTTATCACAATAATCGCTTTGACCATATTTTACAAACTTTTTCGCCTGAATAGTCTATTATGCCCTTGATATTATAAATTCTCCCATTTATGTAATGCATTCTATATTATATTATATGCTATATAATACATTTTTACCCATGTATTTTACTTGTCAGTAACATTACCGTGAACAAATCTCAAGTCCACGTTCTTAATGAAATATGTTAGTAAAAATTTAAAAATCAAAGCTCATTGATTTATCAGCCAAGCCATACCCATTAATTTAATAAATAAAATACCCACATTTAGCAAAATAACACATTAGATTAATATTTTTAAATAAATAATATTAACATATAAAGCTTTAAAAAACTTAATATTAAACAGAAGTATCTTTGAAACTTTTTTTAAAATTTTTATCGACTATAAAAAACCTAACATTTGTTAAACAAATTTATTTTTATTATAATATGTAATATAGAAGGTATTACATAAATCAGGGTATTTATAATGTCAAGGACATAATAGACTTTTCAAGTAAAAATATTATAAAATCTGATCAATGTGACTTTTGTGATAAATAGAGTAAAATAGAATATTTTTTGTGTAACAAAAGAAAGAAAAAATGACTTTTGATAATTACCATAAAATTGAATGATATTTACGTAACAAAAAAAAAAAATAACTTTTATATAATGAACACAAAGTTAAATGGCAACTCATTATATTTACTTGTTAAAACATATAAATAAAACAGTGAAACGGCTGCTTTCTGATAATGAAAGCGTGGTGATTAGAAGATTACAATTCTAGTTTCAGAAATATTTCGTAGTTTTTTACCATGCACTTGCCTAACCACCCAGATTTCTCAGTTATCCAAAAATAAAGAAAAGAAGAACAAATATAGAAGGGAAAGTAGAAAAAAACTTACGGTCAACTTAATAAATATAGCAACTACTAACAAAATAGAGCAAAGTAAGTAAAAGATTCTAATAAATTCCGAAGATCAAGGAGACCTAATATAACAGGACAAGATAACGACAACACAATTAGGGGTTCGTTTGGTTTTTTCTTTTTGCTTTTTCCAAAGGGTCGTTTGCTTCTTTCTTTTTTTATATCCCCAACGATTAACAAGATTGGAATTATAATAGAAAAATTAAATAATAATGTAATTATTTAGTGAATATACTTTATTAATAGATATTTGATATTAGGACAAAAAATGAATATACGAGGTATAATATAAAATATGTTAAACTATATAAACTTTTATTTCCAAATAACCTTATCTTCCTTATGAAAGAAAAGCTATGGAGGCAAGTGTGTTGTTTTATTATTTTATCCTGGAATTACTAATTTCAAGATTGTTGAGTATGATATAAAATAATACCACAAGTATAGCATAAAAAATATTCCCAAAATAATAAAGTTAACAAAAACATGAGATAAATAACCCCATAATTTATCCCGAAATTATAATACCTTATTCAACCAACCAAACGACCCCTTAACATTTCCAAGAACTCATGAAAGAACTACTAAATCAGAACAACCGTGTATGTATGTATCAGAAATAATTACCTTAGATTGAAGAGCTTCTGTTTCTTGAAACAAATAGTGGAACAAGGACCCTGAAATATTCCAAGAAGAAGAAGAAGAAGGTTCTTTGTACAAGGTGGAATTTATTGGGTATTTGATTCTCTCTATAAGGTTGAAAATGATGGTGTCTTCTTGTCTTATTAAACTATCCCTTATTGAATCAAGACTCAGTTTATTATTAGCATCACCACTAATTAAAGCCATTTTTAATAGGCAAAAATTCAAAAGGAGATTTTTTATGTGGTGGTTTGATAGGTTGGGAGGAAGAAGAAGAAGAAAAAAAGGAGAATGAAAGAACGTTATCAGTTTTGGTTGGTTATGTTTGAACTATATATTCACGAGGTTTTTATGTTTTTAGTCCCTATACTTTGGATTAATTGAAGGTATGGTCCTACTACTATACGTTACATAAAATTTAAGTTCTTTATATATGAATGTGACATAAAATCAAATTGAATCTAACGTAAGGTATCTAAGTACTTTTAACAATGGTTCAATATATACAATTAAAACGAATTTGGCAAACTTTGCTTCCCTTGTTTTTATTAATCATGTCCACTCTCCCTCACCATCTTAAATTCGTTTATTCCCCTCGCTAACATAAAGATTTTATAAAAATTTAGCAAAGATACGTATATAACTTGTATTTTTTTTCCTTAAGAGGACAAGAGCAGTATTATAAAATTTTATAAAATAATTGAAGACCAATCAAATACATATGAATTCAAAGTCACAGACAACTCTGATAATAAAGATGGAACTAGGTAAGCTAGATTGAGGAGATATTTAGAAAACATCTAAATGGTGGCTTCTCAAATATAAATATTTGCAAACCAGTGGAAGATTATAATATTCTCTTTATTTCACTTTATATGATACTATTACGATTTATAAAATTAATTTATTTTTTTAATATAACTTTTTGATACATCATACAAATATTTTAAATACAAAAAAGTTGTAATATATGATATTTTTATGTAGTTTGCTATTATTTAATTTTATTTCTAAAAGATAGGAAATTCATATCCAAATTGGGATTAAACATGCGAATGTTTGATCCTTCTACTTTGAACCTCTTCATCCTTGTTGAAAATGAAGGGAGTATGTCATAATTTTGTAAAGCTAAATCAGATTTTAGTTATAATTCGAGGGCTAAAATTGCAATTTGTCATGACTTTCAACTATACACAAAATAGAGTCATGGGTATGTCCTTTTGCGTCAGAAATGTCATGTGGCGCACTTTAGCTGTTTAGCATCAAGGAGCGTAGTGTGCACGGTTTGCTTATTGCGGGTATCTAACGTTTCAAAAAAGTCTTCAAAAGTTGAATAAAGGACATTAACGTAAAGCTTTTGCTTTTTCCTCTTTATAGTCAAGGGTGGAAATAGAGTTTCGTTAATTTTATGTCTTTAAAAAAATTTATTGAATAAGTATAAATTTTTATTTTAGAACTCAATAATATAAAAATATTAGAATTTCAAATTCAATAACTTTAAATTCTGGCTCCGCCTCTATATTCAGTAATCACTATTCACATTGGAGCGTCAATAAATCTAAATTTGTATGGCATACAATCTATTAGAAACATATTTTCTATAAAAAATAATTTATTTTCAAAACTTACTCAAATTATCTAGATAAGGATAATATTAAGACGAATCTTAATGCCTAAGGTCGAAGCAAGGAACTTACGCGTAAAATAAGTATTTAACGTCACGCGTAAAGGTTGCTGTAGTGGGGATCCACAGAAGAGTTACGTAAGTTTCTTGCGACTTGTCGTTTGTGTTGTCAACTTTTTCACTAAAGTCCACCGAATCAAAACTTTTTCCTGTTCGATCCAATCAAGCAAAGCATGATTTAAAGATGAGAAATTTATTGAAACCATTATTGTTTAGTGACTATTAATTTAATATAGTTATTATTTATTTAGTTATTTCGTATAACTATGTTTTTATTTGTTATAGAGTGTATTCTATATATTCAAGCTATTGTATTCATGAATACAGTAGCAAAACTCGGCGGAAAACAGGGAAGTCCAGCTAAACATAGACTGTATTCATATGTACTCAGTTGTTTAAAAACGGTAAGTGAATCAATTAACGCGATAGACTCCTAATATAACTTAACAAACTCAATTATAACACGCAAAATTTGTATTTCCAGTTATAGAAAAGATTCTCAGCCGAAAAACACCCCAAAACAGAGCAATCTTGAGACATTCAATTCATCCTTTCTTTTTTGGTATCGTTCGTGGAATTTCTGGCACGCTAATATTGTTCGAATTCATACAATCAGCTATACAGAAATAGACTGAAATTCAATTTTACAGATGGCAAGTTTAACCATGCTATTGCGTCATTCTGGCAAGTGGAACAGTGAGAATAACTATGTCGATTATTCGATTGAGGGGATATTGATAAAGGAGTATGTGTCGTACAATAATTTGGTTGCTTCAATTTCGAAGCAACTTGCCATAGATTTGAGGTCAAAGTCAATTCAAATTGAATACAAAGTGAAAGAAAATTGCACGCCAATGGAAATACACAACGACATGGGTTACAGGGTGTATATAGAGTTGAAAAAAGAGAACAGAGAATTTGGGATGTATCCTTTGTGTATAACAATAATGGATAAAGAAGTTGTAACTGGAGGTAGTTTAATTCAAGGCGACCTAATGCAAATAGACGAAACAGATGGGGTGAGTAAATTTGATAACAATTGATACACTTGCTCTTGAGTCAGTCAATTTAGGTGAACCAATTGAGGTGTTCGAACCAGAAAGGGATTTGATTATTTCAAAAACTAAATCAAAGAGAGGTCATGGCTGGACAAGTATATAAGGATAAGGCCACATTGAAAGCGGTGATGGAACATTATGCAATTGCTCAAAGGTTTCAATTCCGAGTTGATAGGTCTAATGCTATCAGATTTGAGTGTTCTTACTTGAACAATATGTTTTATTCAATTGTATGGATATGTATTCTAAATTTTTGTATAATGTATTCATGGCATAATTTTAAAAAATACAGCATGTATAATGTTGTATTCATAATATATGCTTTCCTTCATTCTATTTTTCATGTATAAGTGATTTTGTACTTGAGTGTTCTGAAACAATTATATCATGTATACATATGTAACACTATATCCACAAATATATAATTGTATTATGTAATCATGTATACATATGTAACACTGTATTCACATGTATATAAGTGTATTCCGTAATCATGTATACATAGGTAATATTGCATTCACATGTATATTCAAAAAACAAACATTGTATTTCGTTGTATGTTTTCATATAGACAACTTTGTTGGCAAATGAAAATGTTGGGTGTATATAGACAAATCAGTTGTAGTTTCTGTTTATATTTTATATTCATACATAACCAATCGTATGTATTACACAAATATATTTGCAGCTATACATTGTTATGTATTTCAGAGGATTGTGAATGGAGATTTAAGGCTTCTAGCATTAACAAATCACAAATGTTCAAAGTGAGGGAGTTCAATGATAAGCATACATGTCCGTTGAAGGATAAGGTGTATGAGCAACGTCAAGGAAGTAGTAGCTTTATTGGTGGTATGATTAGGTCCAAGTCTACTAATCATAAGAGGAAATACACCCCAAAGAATATAATTGATGATATGAAATCAGACTTTGGTGTAGATGTTAATTACATATTGGCGTGGCGGGCTAAAGAAAAGGCAATGAATTTTTTGAGAGGTGAACCAGCTGATTCATACAATAAATTACTAGGGTACTTATATACACTAGATATGACATATCCTGGTTCGCATATTAGAATGGTAAAATTACCAAAAAATAAGTTCATGTGTTTGTATATATCGTTGTATGCTTTTATAAAGGGATTCGATCACTGTAGACCCATCGTGGTTGTGGATGGCAGCCACCTAAAATCGGCATACATAGGGACATTCGTCTCGGCTAGCACGTTGGATGGTGCATGTAAGTCTGTTAATATATATATATATATNTGAGCATCATCAAATCTGTATCGAGAGTGTATCCTACGGTACCCTATTTTGCTTGTATATGGCATCTATGGAACAACGTATACAAGAAATTCAAAAGGAGTCATTGAAAGTTGAGCGAGGTATACTTCTCGATGGCAAAAGCATACACTCCAGATGAGTTTGATAGTCTAATAGAAAAGGTATAGAAGCTAGATATTCGGGTGAAAGAATACTTGGAATTAGCTGGATATGAAAAGTGGGTTAGGTTGTATGCACCTGTTAACCGAGGATGATGATGTCAAATATTGCTGAATCAATCAATGCCGCACTTGTATCAGCAAGATAATTGCCAATATACGACTTCCTAGAAGAAGTTAGGAAGATGTTTGGACGTTGGAATTGCAGCAATCGGATAGAAGCTTCACACACGTACACAACGCTTGGGAAAACAAATACCAGGAGATGCTTACTTTGAATGAGGCAATGTCTACACGTATGACTGTAAGTTTTGTTTTGCTATAAGTCCTTGCATAATGTATTTATGCCTGATATAACATGTAATCATTTCTGATACAATTTCCACTATTAATATTATAACGATCCGGTCGGTCGTTTTGAGTATTATAACCCCGTTCCCTCATTTACTTCTCAATTTATGCTTCACAGTTGTTTTATGACTTACCGGGTTAGTTGGTTCAGGTCCGGAAGGAATTCTGAGTGAAATGAGACACTTAGTCTCATAATTGAAAATTTAAGTTAGAAAAGTTGACCGGATGTGGACTTAAGTGTAAACGACCTTAGATTTGAATTTTAATAATTTCAATAGCTCCGTATGGTGATTTTGGACTTAGAAACGTATCTGAAAAATTATTTGGAGGTCCATAGTAAAATTATGCTTAAAATGGCAAAAGTCATTTTTTTTGGAAGTTTGACCGGGAGTTGACTTTTTGATATCGGGGTCAAAATATGATTCTAAAAATTTTAATAGGTCCGTTATATCATTTATGGCTTGCGTGCAAAATTTAAGGTCAATCGGACGTAATTTGATAGGTTTCGGCGTCGTTTGTAAAAATTAAAAATTTTAAAGTTCATTAGGCTTGAATTGGGGTATAATTCGTATTTTTAGTGTTGTTGGATGTGATTTGAAGACTCGACTAAGTTCGTATGATATTTTAGGACTTGTTGGTATATTTGGTTGTGGTCCCGAGGGGCTCGGGCGTGTTTCAGATGGTATTCCGATTATTTTCCTTCATTTTTGCACTGTTGGTAGCTGCTGATTTCTGGTGTTTCAAACCTTCTTCGCGATCGC